ACAAATAAAAAATTTAAATCTGTATGTTACTAAGAATATTTTTGAACTTTTATGTCTGAATTAGTTGGTTTTCATTTTTTCTCAAAAAGCCTATTAAGGCACTCCGGTTTGGCACTCTCCCTAAATAGAGTTAGATTTTGTTCTTGTCCTAATCGGGCAGATTCAGTTAAAGCTGGAACTTCATAGGCCCTTTATTTTAATTTATTTTTATTATGAAGAAAAAAAAGGATTAGGTAACTTCGTGATAAGTCGTATAGAAAAAAAAACGGTTTTAAGTTAACCCACAATCTTTTCGTTACTATTCATACTAAGGAAACCCTAAAATTTTAAAATAGGCCCTATTAACGAATGAGACCAGTGTAACCTCAAAATGCTAAGAAATCTTAAGTAACGGATTTTCAATTTATATAATTAATTTTATTATGGATTAATTCTCCTATAACATCCTTTACCTTACTAGGCAAATCTGTAATTATAAAGGCTCACTTAAAATATAGTTCCCTGATGTCAAACAACTGTCAATCAACCACTTTGACAACAGAATTAATAATTTTCACATACACAGACTACTACAATGATACGAAATAATTACAAAGATTTCAGAAATTCGCCTCAGAGTTTACGTACTTCGTATTCGAACTTCTATTTTTTGAAGTATTTTAATAAAACAGATAGACAATTACTTAACTAAGAAATAAAAATGATAATAATTATTTGCATGCTGTCTTATTAACGATATTGTTATTACCATGTAAAGAACTATCCTGAAATCTTGTTTTTGTTATTTTTCCGGATATATGTTGTCTGAAAAAAAATGTGTTACACATGGTCATGGTTCAAAAGCATTTTTAAAAGTTGACTCCGACCGTACGCAACATAGTAGGCCTAATTGTATGTCGGGAAGAGTTAAAACCATTAGCGAAAATTCATCTAGATTCGATTTATTTATTGACTAAAAATTCGTGGGCGACAAAAAAGCGAAAGCTACCTTCCGAGATATTCGATTGCTTAGAGCTGTCAACCCAACCCAAGTGAACAAATAAAATTGAAACAAATAAGAACTAAAAGTTCTTAGTTCTTATTTCTTTTGATAAATAGATTTTCATCAAGTAAAAGCCACCTCAGTTCAAATAAAATTGAACATTTTCTATCGGTAATACTTCCCTAACGCAGCGTACCTCGCGAAAGCGTGGGGTGTGACAAGTAATGCGCCTAGTTTGTTCGGTTATTTAGTAGCAAGGGCTTATGAAACACCTGAGCATTCCTTTGTTTGTTTTAGTTCAACTTGGTATACTTGAGTTGCTAAAGTAACTTATGTTTATCAGGCGTTATCTTTTGAAGTATTTGTCAATAACTCCTTTAATAACATAGACTGGAACTTTAAATAAAGCTGAAAATCGCGAATGAAATGAACATACATGGACCAAGGAACTGAAATTCTGAAGAACTTCTTTACTCGTTATTAATAAGCGATATCCAGTCAATATCATTATTTCCACGAGCTTAACTGGGATACATTTTTTGAACATTCATTATAAAGCACCTTGCATAGTGTCTTTTAAAGTTGACTTAGATGCAAACAAATTAGTGGAGAATAACTGAATCTCTCATTTCAAAAACTACATATAAATAAATGTGCTTTAAATAAAAAAATCTTTATTTTTAGTGTTTCTTAAAAATTATGCACTCGGGAGCTGACAGTCATAGGGAATTATATTATTTCTAAATTTAAATTAGAAAAAAATACAAAAATAAAAGAAACAAAACAACTTGGCTTTGTGGTGTAATGGTGGGATATTTGACTATCACGCGGTAGATCGTGGTTCGATATTGTATTTCGTGACAATTTTTTCTTACTTTTTGAATTATTTTTTAAATTTTAGTAATTTTAATTAAAAGTTGCAGAGAATGTTTAATAAAAAATATCGAGTGGTTTTGATTAATAATAACATAATCAAAACAGTGATCCGCTAAGCATTTTATGCACCGAACAGAATTCAATGAAAATAACGATATTAAATCTCTATATAGTGAAATTCTTCAAATTTTGTCTAATTTTATTTTTTTATTGCAATTCTACAGAGAATCTGCTAAATTCAGGTAGTAGAATAATAATTTTATATTGGATTAGTTTATTTAAAATTATATATTAGTTTGTTTGTTGTAAAAGTTCAATTAAATTACTACTAAACTACTACTACACTTAATAGAATATTTTATAATTTGGTTTACAAGATATAGTAATAATAGTAATAGATATAGTACTAATATATATATATATATATATATATATATATATATATATATATATATATATATATATATATATATGATGACACTATATTCCGGGATATCATCCGTTCGCTCGTTGAACTCCGACTGGAATCCTGCATCCGACTGGCATCCTGCAAATCCTGCATCCGACTGGAATCCTGCAGACGTTTCGCCAAAATCTCACTTGGCATCTTCAATGCTCGCGCTCCGAAAACACTTCGAACACTGAATTGAAGATGCCAAGTGAGATTTTGGCGAAACGTCTGCAGGATTCCAGTCGGATGCAGGATTTGCAGGATTCCAGTCGGAGTTCAACGAGCGAACGGATGATATCCCGGAATATAGTGTCATCACTTTTTTCCATCCGTGAATCAATACGTGAGAATATATATATATATATATATATATATATATATATATATATATATATATATATATATATATATATATATATATATACATACCATATATGCCATGTTAAAGAAACTATGTAAGAATTTTTAAGGTTTCTTGATTTTTATTGAAATGTTTATTTAATTTGCTCTATACTTACTTTGAACGCATTTATTGAACTGCATGGGCACATCAGTTAAATAAATTGTAATAATAAAATCAGTTCGACTTGAATAAATAACGTTGTTTGTTAATTTTTGGCAATTATTTTTAATAATATATATACTTGATAATTATAAATTATAAAGTAATATGACAATACAAGAGTGCAAATTTACCGGATTTAAAAATTTAATTTCCAATTTAATAGATATCCATAATTAATAGATATTTTCCTCCTACTTCTCAGTTTTAAATGGTCTAACTATAACTAACTAACTAACTGTATAAAAGTTAACATGTATTTCTTTTGCAGAAGAGGAAAAACAATTTTGTTTTTATGGATTTTCAAAATAAAATGCAACAAGTTCGAATAAATTTTAAAGAAAATATGGTTAATTTATACAAAATAAATTTCGGAATATTACATGACAATAGGTAAGAAAAAAATACTTGTTTTGTAATTTTAAAAAATCTATTTAAATCCTATTAAAATTTACTTAAAAAAATCCAGTACTTATCATGTGCATGCATTCGAAAAAACAGTTTTGGCAGTCCTATTAAATTACAAGTTTTGACGGTCAAATTGTTGCTAGAAACATAGTGGGCTTAGAAAAATAAATGTCCTAATCGACAAATGCCTTTACCGTCAGTTTAACTTCGGTTTCAATAGTTAATTAGATACGTGGAATTTCAATTTCCTTAGACATGTTGTGGAAGTGCAAAGAAAAAATCATTCAGGCTGAAGCGGCAGACAATTATAGCAAAAATCTGAGAAAGCAAAAATTTCAAGATTTGGATCGAGCAATGTTGCAGTGGTTCCAATAGCAACGTCTGCACCACTCTCTGGACCGACCTATCGTAAAACTAAAAGCAAAAAGTTTGCTGAACAGCGTTGCATTATCGATTTCAAGGCTTCGGGAGGATGGTTGGGGAAGTTCAAACAAATACATGGTATAAATTATGGACAGGTAAGTGACGAAGCACGTGATATCGACAGAAACGTCACTAACGATTAGCTGGAGAACACGTTGCCAAAACTAGCAGAAAAGTACCCTGCTGACAACATTTTTAATGCTGACGAAACTGGTATTTTTTACAAAATTACACCAGATAAAACTCTTAAATTTCGAAGCGAAAAGTGTGTGGGTGGAAAACTTTCTAAAGAACGTCTAACAGTGTTAGTAGCTGCCAATATGAGTGGAAGAGAAAAAATAAAGCTAGTCGTGATTAGAAAATCAAGTAACCCACGATGTTTTAAGAACATCAAGCATTTGCTGGTCCCTTACAAGGCAAACCACTCTGCATGGATGACATCGCTAATTTTTGAAGAGGAGATACAGAGATGGGATACAGAATTAAAGGGGAGGAAAATAGATAGATAACTGATAGATTAGATAACTGCCCTGCACATCCCCATATTCCAAATCTACGGATTATTGAATTGGCAATTCTTCCCGCCAAACAACAAGTGAATAAGACAAGATGGACCAGAACGTAAGAGTCGATACGGTGAAAACATTCCGAACACAAATTTTCCATTAATATGCTAGATGCAGTCAACTTTATTAGTAAAGCTTGGAAAGAGGTGACAGCAGAAACAGACAGAATGCGAACAGGACTTGGAAGATTATCGGCCACTAAGCGAGTGGATAAATCAGTTTCAAACAACAATTACGTTTACAACTGAGGAGTTATTTTATGGTGATAGATCAGGATTTGCCTACAACAGCAGAATTGACAGAGGAAGCCATATTACAACAAGCAAGAAAGGGTGAGGAAGAGCACCAAGAGGAAGAAGTTGATCTGGGACCACCACCAACCATTCAACAAGCCCAATGTTTGGTTAAGCTGCTAGAGAAATTTTTTATGTATCATGGGGAATGTGCCCCTCTCAAAAAAATGGTGAAAATACAAGTCAAAGTACTAGATACGTACTAAAAAAATTCAAAAGAAAATGACCGATTATTTGAAGCATTAAATATAGTTCTTAAATATTTATATAAAATGTTCCTAAGTAGATGTTAAAATATGTATATAAAATAATTAAACACTACAGAATACATATGCGTATTGTTATTTTTCAAGTGCCTATAACTCTTTATAACGAAAAAAAAGCAGTCCCTTCAATTTCGCTATATAGGGTTTCGAATGTACTTTTGTATTGTTTACAGATTATTTGAGGATCATGCCGAATTGATCAACTTGTTCGAGAAATTCAAGCAGCTTAGAACCAAAGAAGAACAAGCCAACAGCTTGGAGCTGGCAGAGCATGCGACGACTGTGATGAACACTCTAGATGAGGGAATCAAAGGGCTCGATAACCTAGATGCATTCTTTGAATATCTGCATCAAGTGGGCGCCAGTCATAGAAGGATACCGGAATTCAAGGTTGAATACTTTTGGGTAAGACGTTACGCGTATTGAATAACCGCTAAAAAATTGTATAGTCTGTCTCAATATTCGTCGTGTTTGGGCAAAGCCATTAACAAAAAAATTCTTACTTTAGTGAAAAGGCAGGAGTGGATCAGATATATTTCTTTCTACTTGATATATTTTTTGGATGTTGACCATTGATGACAGTGTTCAATAATTGTTTTTACTGTGCGTTTCGAGGAAGTTATCGTCAAAGAAATCATTTGTCGTTTGATGCAAAGGAAGTTATGAAAAATGTATATGAAACTTTAATTAGTAGAGAAATTATCCAACAAGAAGATTTAATAGAAACCTGTCTTCTTATAGAAAGGCCAATATCGTCGATAAGGGAGATTATTAATAGTGCAGAATTAAAGAAAAGGAACAAACGTAGTGATTTTCAATAGACAAAAGGGATGAGGACCCAATAATAAGCAAAATGTATTGTGTATATTAAAGCGAAGTTGGATAAACTGAACAAGAAGCAAAAAGAAGATGAAGCCAATATAAATATAAGCCGTGCCACCCTCCATAGGGTTGTTTGTAAAATGGAGCGAAACAGACAAAAGGCAAGTAGTAATGGAATCACACAGATTATGTGCTTGAAGATTTAATTACCTTCAATAAATTAAAGTATATAGATTAGACAAGAGATAAATAATTAATCTTAATGGAACACTGTTCGATACAAACGACACTGTATTCAAAGGATGAGTTGATTCCACTCAAAACGGTCAGACGAAATTACCTTCAAATAAAGAAAAACTCATCACTATAATACATCAGATCAGAAGACAGATTTGTTTCCTGTGGTGAGGAAAGAATATTAAGTTTATCAAAGAAACTTTCACAGGCTACTTTAATACTTTTTACAAAACTTCTGGATTCCTCCTGCGTCGGTTTTTACTGAGTCGAACTTGCTGACGTTTCGTCAATTATTCTGTTGGCTTCTTCAGAGCTTGCTTGAAACTGGCTCGCATTTTTCTCTGTACCTGCTTATATATTGTTTGGGGAGGAAGGAGCTAAATGAGCGGCATAAACACCGTCTCGGATGACTGAGACGCGGTTAAGATTGTTAGGTTGTTAATAGATTTCTATAGACTCTCGACTTTTTCGTTGGTAGAAGAATTGATTACATGCAAGAATTTTAGTTTTATCGAATAAAATTTTATGTCTGGTTCTGGTAAGGCTCTTTCGTGTTCTTTGAGCCTAGTTGATATTTTTGGTTTGGCTTCTCCAATGTATTTTTTACCGCATATGCATGGAATGCTGTAAACTCCTGGCATCTCAAATGGAATACTATCTTTGACGGACCGAAGATGTTGAGAGATTTTTGGACAAGTGGTAAATCTGGATTTGACGTTATACTTCTTTAGAACTTTTGATATGTGGTCAATGATGTTTTGAATTTAAGGAAGGACCACACTAGCAAGTGTAGGAATGCTTTCGGCCTCATTGCTTGTGGAAGGCTGTGCTGAAGTGTATTTTGTGATGGAACGCTTAACATCTTTAATGTGGAAATTATTAGGGAGAGGAACAGAGGTAAGGTGTTGTAATACTGGGTCCAGTGACTCGGGCTAAGAGAGTTTTACGGCTTTGTAAACAAGAGAGTTGATGATTTTTGGGCCGGATGGTGATGTCAACATGCATTAAGGTATCCGTGTGCGTAGGATTTCTATAAACACAATGACCCAATATTAGGTCTGATTTTCTATTAATAAGAATATCGAAGAATAGAAGGTTATTATTAGTTCTCAACTCAATGGTAAAACGTATGTTATAGTTTTAATGTCTAAGAAAAGCTACTAGGGTTTCTGGACCATGAGGTTAAATAAAAAAAGTATCATCGACGTAGGGTTTCAATAATTTTGGTTTTAGATGAAAAGTATCGAGAGCTTTCTTCTCAAAGGCTTCCATAAATATATTCGTGGTGATTGGTGATAGTGGAAAACCCCGACGTTTGTTCAAAAATTTGACCGTTATAAGAAAAATATGTTCCAGGCAAGCATTTTTCGATTAAGGCGAGAAGGTTTGGTTCCAGATTCTCGGATTTTAATATATCTGAAATGATGTTGAGAGTTTCAGGAATAGGCACTTTGGTAAAGAGGGATTCTACGTCGAAACTAACTTGAATATGTTGTGAATGTGCATATAATGTGTATGTGTATCTAATGTAATGATTTTTAATTGTTCAATTAAGTGAAAGGAATTAAGTACGAAACTATCAGTTTTCCCTATAAGGGGTTTTAATAAGGAAGCTAGATATTTTGGTAGAGAATATGTTGGAGAACCAATAGTACTGACAAAAGGTGGAAGAGGTAATCCTGCTCCGTAGAGACGAGGCATTTTAGAGTCATAGGGGAGGGGGGACACATTTTTCACGGAGTCTGATAGATAAGAAGCCTTAATAACAGATTTAAGGTTGCGATAAATAGATTATCCATGATGATAATGCGAGTCAGTTTCAGTCAAGCTCTGAAGAAGCCAACAGGATGATTGGCGAAACGTCTGCAAGTTTGACTCAGGAGGAATCCAGAAGTTTTGGTTTCAAAATATCCTTTTGAACAATATTCCCAACAACAGTGGTATAGTCATGCTACCAGAGCCCTTTGCTACGCAAAACACCAGCCTCATCAAGTTTAAAAAATGGACTCCAGTAATATTTGATAGAAAATGATATTTATTTTGAATTCAGTAACAAAAAATGGCAACGGAAGTATATTCATATGCAATTAAAAAACAGCATGTTGCGAAAATAGAATCATGTAAAATCAAATATTAGAGCAGAAAATGTTACTACTACTTTAAGTACCAGTGTTATAAATTTGATAAAATATGTAATTAATAACATACCAATTGGCAGCTGGAAAAAATTAGTACAGCACATTATAAAAATTGAGAGCTTGTACATTTCTAAACAAAACGATTTATGTCTGAAGAGGAAAACAGACTAGACTGTCTCAATCTTCATCCTGCTGGCTTTTGTCCGCAATTATGGAAGTTACCTGCCGACGGCAACATATTTTTTTTTAAATTTTGGGTGCATATAGTCTTATTAAATTACTCTAAGAAAAACAATGATAGTAAATACATAAATAATAAATTTAAAATATAATAATAATAAATAATAAATTTAAGATGCGCTTTTTGTAACTGAATTCAAAATAAATATCACTTTCTAACAAATATTTCTGGATTTCATTTTTTAAATTTGGTGTTCCTGGTGCTTTTCGTAGAAGGTATCAATGGTGGCTTACGTTATCCATGAAAATAACACTGTCATTGGGAATATTTTTTAAAAGATTGTTTCGAAACCAATTTCCGAGAAGTTCAGTACTTGTTCCCTAATGACAATCCAAGCTGAAATACTTAATATTCTTTGCAAACAACGGCAAGCAGCTCTGAAAAAATCTGTCTTCTGTCAGCGTACATTATGGTGATGCGTTTTCCTTCATTTGAATACAGCGTCGTGTGTAACGAACCATGTTTCATCATATCTATATCTTTTAATTTCGTTAAGATAATTAAATCTTCAAGTGTGATTCCATTACTACTTGCCTCTTGTCTATTTATTTGCAGACAATTCTCTGGAGAGTGGCACGGCTTATATTTCATTGGTTTCATCTTCTTCTAGCTTCTTTTTCCTTCTTATAAGGTTATTGTCCCACTAAGATTATTCCTTCTCGTCAGTAGTAGACAGGTTTCTTTTAACGATTCTTGTTGAATAAATCCTCTACTGATTAAAGTTTCATACACTTCTTTCACAACCCGTTTTGCTCTCATAGAATATTTTTTCGAAACGCACCGTAAAAACGATTATTTAACACTGATAAAAGTGGTCAACACTCAATAAATATATTAGAAAAAAAGAAACCAAAACTAACCAACCAACTCAAGCTAGGATATTTTTTTTGTTAACGGCTTTTCAAGATAGCAATAGATAATAACATCCCTAAAATTTTATTGGGGAGGGTCTGTCGAAAATCCACACTATGAAGTTTGAAACATATACATAATTTTGTATTAGCCCGTATTATCCCAAGCACAAAAAAAAATAAAAAAATACATTTTTGCTCTGAAATTATTTATTTTCTTGCACTTAGGTATACATTACATGTGTCAAAAAAAAATAACTCGAAACATACAACAAAATTCTGACGCGTAAACGAACCACTGGAAAAAACATTAAATAATGTCGTGGGGCACAAAAGATGTAACATAAATATACCAAAGAAAGTTCAAATTCAACAGAAAACAACTAAAAGTATTGTTTTCCAAATAGCTCCTGATTTGAAACAACGCACAATATTTTATGGTGCGTGAGCGCACCACTGGTAACACCCGGTTTCACTTTTGGTGATATTTTACAAAGCATTGAAGTATGTAAATGCACACTACACTTATTACAAATGTAAATTGTGTGGCTGTGGCAGATTCTACATCTCCTTCGCGCTTCATTATCATTGATTATCATAACCCACTTCATCTATGACCGGTGCAAGATTTCTTTGAGTAATTGTTTTATCAAAGCAATGTAAGATTTAAAATCTACCTTGGAAATCTTTTTTTTGTTGACAATATTATACAATTTCCATGCATTCACTACTTAATTATCCAGTGAATCACAAAATAAAGGTCACCCCCATTTTGTCCCAAATACCTGGCACCTTAGCAATTCCGTTGTCATGTAAATCTACCCCACCGATATATCTATTGTATTGGGCAATTACATAAGATTGGGGTATATATACATCTTTCCGTTCTTTTCTATTATAGCGTTTTACATTTTGGACAGGATCTACACTAGAAACATTACCTACCACAGTTCCAACTGAATTGTCGTGCCAACGGACAAATTTTTGATTCAGATTCATATGCGGTCACTTTTTCCATTGGACATTTATTTGTTCTATTATCCCTGTTAGTACCGGTGATAGTTTGAATGATGAAAAAAAAAATGTCCAAAAAAAATTTGGTGATTTCCTGGCTTATCTACAACAGAAAGTAGGCTCATGACAATGCCACCGCCAAGACCAAGATCAGAATGAGGTTTATGTTGAGCACCACCATATGGAAGTGAATAAAATAGGTACCCATCAGATGAACAAAGGCACCAAAGCTTGAACCCAAAACGAACTGACTTACCCCTTATAAACATCTTGCAGGAATGGCTGCCAAAGTAAGGTACCATTTGTTCATCTATGGATAAGTTGAACGAAAATATGCCAAACTGAAGTTTTTTTTTATTACATCAAAGAAGGGTCTAAGTTTTGAAAATTTATCATTTTTATCCAACAGATTATTGTCAGATGAGTGCAAGTTGTGCTTCATCAACTGGAATCTATTGCGGCTCATACGTTTTTTTATAATATCAATTCCTTTATCTTCATCAGTAGACCAATAATGCTAAATATGTGGCAATGAATGATAACCCGAGAACAATAAAATGCCTACAAAATTTAAAAGGTCATTTTTTGTCAACGAGAATTCATGGCGGTTATGGCCTTGAACATATTTTACCGAAAATTTTAAAATCAAATCAATCACTTCGTTAGCAAAACACAACAGAAAGCCTCTTTTTTAGTTCCTCACATGATCTAAATTCATCGGATATAGGTGGGTGAGTGTACTCAATCTGACCTTTCTTCCATTTGACAGTTTGTCGTTTGCAGAAAGCATACGTCTTCATTTGAATTCCAGGGTTTCATCATCTGATGAGTCCCATTCAGGTTCAGGAGTTGATGAATTACAGGATTGTTGAAGAACAGTTGTATCAGTCGGTCTATGTAACTCGAAAGTTCCAACTGTATCATTTGGTTCCCCAAACTCTTGTAGATTTATGTTATCGTTCATATCTTCTTCGTCAGTCAAGCTATCCACGTCGGGCGGAATATAGACCGCGTCAATATGTTCGGTAAATATTTTTTCATAAATTTACATAAATTTACAAGGAATGGAATGCTACAATACATAAGAATACGTAAATCACGATCTCCTCCATAGCCGCCTCGTAATTCCTTTTGAGTCAAATACCTCGGAAATGGCGTTCACTGCACAAAGCACAAACTATTACTAAACAACACGCTAATTATTGGATGTTTATTCTACATGCGCTGAGTTGTCTAGACTTGCAATATCAAAATTTTGTTTCATAGATAAAACCAGTGGTGCGTTCACACACCAGTAAATATTTTCAAAAAATAAAGCATAATCAATATAGTATTTCCAATGTATGTTTTCTGCGACGTAATCTACATGCTATAGACTTAAAAAATATGGCAATACATATCCAAAATATATTATTTTATTATTTTGGATTTACTTGAAAATGTGATACAAATTTATGTACCGCTTTTGATAACTTTTGAAGTCATATATAAAATCTTTCCTTTACGCATAAATTAGCGATTTCTACGGTTTTATGTCCTTTAGTAGTGATAATAATAAAATGTCTAAATGGATGTGCAAAAATATTTCCTGGATGTGACAAAAAAAATCATAGAATAGGTGGTGCATTAAGGCACCACTGAGACAAAATGGGTTGGCTAAACTAAACTAAATTAGACTATGTTATCCACCCATAATAGACGTTGTCGTTGCAGAAAATCGAGAAGCCATTCCTGGAAGCGGTGGAAACGACGCTGGGCGACAGGTACACCGAGAACGTCGAGAACATCTACAAAATAACGATAAAGTTCATCATAGAGACCCTGATAAAAGGTTACAACAATGCCAACGCGACCACGTGAAGACTAAACCGAATAGACTGAACGAATTTCACTTTGTTATTGAGATGTTTCGACCCCCATTCCGAAACTTCCTCTTCGGAATCGTTCCGCTAATTTTCTCCCATCTAATGTGGAAATTTTATATAGTTTTTCGTGGGTAGGGACTCCGGGATGGCGTTTAGAGGAATGGGGGCAACGCCTACCGATTGGATTGTGTTTCGGTTGATAGGTATAGATGCTGCGAAATGTGAATTCGTTTTGGTTCTAGCGGGACTTTTACTCCCATATAGCTATCGGATGATATAGAGGCCTTCCTATCTGTTGAATGGAGCTTCTTCGTAAGTTACTGTATTATCGGCTTCTGTATCTCTAGTAGCTATATGACTCACGGTGATTGTCGGTTGACGATGAATCTTAAAAACCGTAAAACATGTTAACCGTTGAACTACTTTATGTACTTTGAAATGTGGACGTGAGATGAATTGAAACGGTTATTATACAGGTTTCCCCAAATTCGATGGTCTATTATAGTCGGTACGATTTGTGATGGCATAGTCGGCAATAAAACACACTCAGAGAGGGATTCGTGTGTTTTCTATGTAATAATATTCCTCAATGATAGACGAATATTTAAATAGGTAAACTACATGAAAAAATTATGACTATTTGTTAAATTAACTATTGTCTATGCAATGAAAAGTAAAACAGTACCAGAAATATCGGAAATTTTTAAAAAAATATATATCGTACAGCATAAAACATAATTTTGCTACTACCAGAAAACGAACATTCGTCTACATTAATAACAAATGGTAGTACCGTTATATCAAGTGTATTCACTTTTTCCCAGTTTTCTGTATCTGTTACACAACCGATCCAATTTTCTTTGGTAACTGTATGGAGAGCTTCCTCACAGTATCATCACGCCTTGCCTCACAATGTTTTTATTAAAAAATACATTGCACTGAGCTTACACCAGTTCGTTGGTAATAAATCCATAATTAAAGACTTCCATTCTAGTTTTGTCAGCAGTTCTTCAAAAATGTGTGCCTGGCCTCATTTTTATTAAAAAATATTTCTAATAAATATCAATTTAAATAATAAATATCATCATATAAAATATTATCATATAAATCCATTAGAATAAGTAACTCCATTTTTTATTTCTTAAGAAGACATTAGCATTATGTTTCAACAACACTGATCTTAACTAAATCACTTTGGTTTCACCTATCTGCATCTTTTTTTCAGTACTATTTAAATAATAGGCAGCACTTCGTTAGAACTAATATCCGTGTATCAGATTTGGGCAACGTTACTATGGGAGTGTCACAGGGTCACAGTTCTTGGACCCCTGTCGTATCTCTTTGCTTTGATTAAGGTTGTCGAATTTTCTCAAATATGCTGTAACACATAGCTGTTACACACATTTAACTCCATTAATTATGAATACATGGAAGCTAATCTTTATTTGCATCATAAAAAACACAATCTGTTAGTTTGTATTTACAATGAAACATCTGCATCATCAGAGTCAAAATTTTAACTGCTACTACTAGAAAACGATCCTTAGTCTGCATTAATAACAAGCGGTACCGTTACATCAAGTGCATTTTTCCCAGTTTTCTTTTATTATATTTTCTGTATATTTTTTTAATATTTTAATTAAAAAATATTTTACACTGAGCCCACACCAATTCCATGGCAATAAACTTGATAACATTTTAGACCAATCGATTAATAATTTCTTTTTTTCTTGTCGATGTATTTGGTAAACTCACATGGATTTTGTCATTCTTAGTATACCTGCGGAAACAGGCAGGTGAGGCACTTCTACCTTGGCTTTATGCGCGACTATGCCATCTCAAATCGTATCGACTATAGAAGCGTGTATATGGAGAACAGATAAAGATAGCCCATAGGAGACTCTCTTTCTCTATATCTATTTCTAAAATATTAGGAAATTGGGACTTCAAAATAATTTAATTTCTATAGTTTCAGATACAAATTTCAAATTTTATTTTTCAAGAGAAACAAAATTTTTCAATATATGCAAAACCTAAACTAATTTAAAAGAAAATTTCTGTATTTTTGTATTATAACGAACATCGGATTTCACAGCACCCTGAATCTGAAATTGAGAAGAAAGAAGATCGGATGACTGGAGAAATTTTGGAATTTATGGATGAGCGTCGAAAATTAAACATAAAAACCAAACAGGATACAGACGCATCTGGGCGATTCAGAGGGAGAAATCAGAGAACTTGGGATAGAAAAATAAAGGAACTACGAGGGTAGAGTGAAAAGTTTCATGGCCAAGAAAAACGATGTCTTAAAAAAAAATTATGGTTAATTTTTCAACGTAATTTTCATCGACACTGATACATTGCTCATAACTGTGTTCTAATGTAATGTAAACGTTGCAATTACTCTGCTTAGTTTTGACCGGCCATAGTCTTACCCTTTTCAAGGTAATCAATCATTCTATATAATTCCTCTCGCATCTCAAAAAACAGTAGCCATAACCTTGTTTGCCGATAAAATTGTTTTGGTCTTCTTTGGAGTTGACTGTTGATTTGGTTGAAACTGTACATACAAGCTCGGTAGAAATGGTACTGTAGGATGTCGTTCCAAAAGTGGACCTAGTAGCGCCACCTCTTGGTTAGGCTGGAAACTTTTCACCCCACCTTCGTATCTGGAGCAAATAAGCAAGCGCCATGTCAACAATAACCGTAAACCAGAAAAAGACGCCTCGGAAGAAGTAGTCATATGGAGAAATCACATTCGAAACCTCAAGACCAACGAGATAATATTTATCCGTTATAAGTTATTAAAATCCTTGGTAATTAGACCTTTTACTGAAATTACTAAACCGAATCTGGAGAGAAGACGGTTGTCCCAAACATAAACAAAATTATTCCCAGCAGGTTCCCCAGTTGACCTATTATTTTTAGACCTTCTTCGTGAGCAACTTTCGTTATAATTTTTGGTTGCAAGATAAATTTGCCTCAGCCAGTCTTCATAGCTTTTAAGTCCAGATACTTCATTTTTTTGTAATTTTCAAAGTCTATCTTGATCGATTCTCCATATACTTCTAATGAACCACCGAGTTTGGACAATGTCCACCTTGGGATTTCCAGCCGCATTCCAGAAACAAACTTCTCACTATTTCTGGAGTCTTCTTTTCCAACTACTTTTCGATGCTTTCATATTGGAAAGAAACCATCAATCCGAAATCAATACGGTCAATTTGTACGTGTCAATTGCTAGGAGGGCAAAAACGAGCAAATGAATGTGTAAAATATTATTATACGTGGCTTTGTAATATCTTTTGAAAATACAATGTAATATTGTTTGCATTGATCTCAGCACACCGCGCGCACACTGAATTGCATAACACAAATTTCCCCCAACCGAACGTTAGTATTCGTTTTCCTTCATTTCTGTTGGGAATGAAGGTTTGCAAAATTGTATAGACAGATTCAAAATACTGCAACATTCAAAATGCATACATACACCGTACAGATTAATAATGACTTGTCTCTTCAGACAAAACATGTTATGAATGTTATGTTATATCTGTTTGAGATATGATTTGGCTTCTTAGAATATAACGCCAGACAAAATGTGCCAAAGGTATAAAAGTCTCGTTCTGACGCTGTCTCTTATACAGGGTGTTTTATAATTGAATATTAATAAATTATTTTTTCCAAAAAAATTTTTTTTAATATCTGTAATACTATTTTAGATATTTTAATGAAATCAGGGGGCATTATTATTTAGTGTACCACAAGTTTTTTAAAATACACCAGTGGCGGTGTACCATTTTGCCAGACACTGATGATGCACCACTGATTTTCCTTAAAATAAAAATTATTCTAAAGTGGTATTGCAAATATTTAAAAAAATATGATATATATTTGTAAACTTTAGGGCATATGTTCATATGAAGTTTTCTTTTTTAAATCGCCTCCTTAGTTATCGACATTCAATTAGAAAACACCCTGCATAGAAAATCCTTGGCAGTTTGATATTTTGGATAAACTTGCAACGAAAGTATTACATTATTAATCACAATTTAGTTTGAATATATTTTATCGTGATTTCGAACTAATTTAGTTACTTACCCACACAGCACTTTTTCAATCTATCTTAAGTAAAAAACATAAAATAAAATATAGTTGTTTGATAATGGCCAAAGAAATATTTATTTCAAATTTTGAAATTATTTATACTGATATCGTTATAAATGTTTATTCAAATAAATATCTTCACCCTTCTTTTAGTGGATGTCCAACCAATAAATGAATAAAATAAACAGGTTTTTTCAAATCTCACAAATATTACTTAAGTGAAATACTCGTTTATCGGCTTTAAAAGATTGCTTGTATGTTTTAAAATTTTATTTATTTAGCCAAGCTTCAGTCGAGCTGAGTTTAAAACAAAAAAAATATATTAAAAAACCAATCTTAAACTATTCTATATATATATATATATATATATATATATATATATATATATATATATATATATATATATATATATATATATATATATATATATATATATATATATATATATATATATATATATATATACAGAACATTATTTTAAAAAATCGTTTGATACAAATATCTCTCCAATAATAATTGTTAGTGGTACAGTTGGAAGTATGTATTTTCCCTATGGTTTAATTATAGTTTTGGTTACAAAAATTGTTCTGAACTGAACACAGAATAATAAAAACGGTACTTTCATAAGTCTCGATTGGAAGCAAAAGTTTTTTTTTCTCTTTCATTGTCATTTTTTGAAATATTAGAAAAATTACATATTAAAATTTTTATCGAAAAAAGATTAACAACATTTTTTATATAAATTTGCCCGCAGACCACAAAAATGTCATTGAAAATAAAAAAGTTGATCCCACTTCCGGTAAAACCGGAAGCACTATTCAATTGTTTATTTATACAGTGCGTGTCAAAGTAATATATCTCGTTTATTAGTTTTAGAAAAAATGTAAAATACAAAAGTCATAGATGTGACTAAAAGAAATAATTTAAAAATATTTTCAAATATACAGGGTAATTTGTACAGGTGTGAGAAATCATACTATTATTTTTTTAAATGGAACACCCCAATTAATAGATTACCCAAAGCAGGATTGTTATAGTCTCTACTGAATGTTTTCGATTTCATGTCCGTTTCCGACAGCTGTAATTTTATCCAATACTTGTCTTGAAGTTGGTTCCAATCGTTTATGCAGGGTGAGTCAAAGTGAACAATATTAATTTTCGTGAAAAAATTAAATGGAACACCCGGTACATTAAATTTCAATTAATTGATTTTATTAAGCATTTTCTATATCCAAACCCAGTATTTTTTTGTGGTGTACACATTTTTACGAATAAAACTTCGAAAATTTGTCAAATTATGATAAGAAAATATCGAAAATTTTTAATTTTGTGAAAAAATGTTCAATTTCTTTTCGTTAATTTCAAAATTCCTTTCTTCTTTTCTTATTTAAAAATATATAAGATTGGTTACACACATATTAATGAATCATCCATCATCATTATCTGTAAATTTTGTATTTAACATTTTTTTCTAAAACAAAAAATAAATGAATTTGTATGATATATCTAGGTTTCACATAATTCAATTTCTTTGATAGACTTGTCGCTGGTAATTTCATTGATACCCGCTAGAGACATGTGCGTATTTAAATTAGCCATTTTTGTCCAGGAGCAAAAAATTCAGCAAGCTTATATTTATAATTGTTTGAGACTGAATAAATTCGTTGCAAATAATTGCTGCATCGAAATGGGAATATTTCAAAGTATAATAGATATTTAAATCTTCATCCGGGTTTTTCTCCGTTCAGGGTATTCGTTTAAGCGCCTCTCTTTCATTCTGAAATTTTGCAGCCTTTAATTGCCTGGCGAGTGGGTAGTTTCCTATCTGGAAAAGCCTACCACAATCATTACGGGATCTGGATGCACTTTCGTTTTGAATCGAGCTTCTGTTCTTCGCAATATCAAACAAAACAAAACCTCATAAATATTAATTGTATTGGATTCGATCTGAAAAGCAGAAAATTTTATCCTTGCCATTGCCTATGTCATAGCTAATTTCAATAGATAGAGTAAAAATTTATTTCGATCGTGATAACATCGAAACAGAAATGTTTAAGCTGCAAAATTTCAGTAATAAATAGTTCAAAGTATCTCAAGAGATTTTCATGGGATATCTCGATCGATAGACTTTTTATTATAGCAGCTGAAAATCAGATCTTCATCAGATGACCCATAAACACCTGTTCAGACTGCCAATCAGAGGAACTACAGTGGATTGTTTTTGTGACTTTACGCTTCGTGATTTGTAATTCCCAGGTTCGTCGAAAACGTTTCGGGCGTTGACGTAATTATTTTAGAACAGCCACATTTCCTTCCGAGAGATTTGACCGTGCCCTTGATAGTTCTGGCACTAGGATGAACATTCTTAAATGGTAAAGCCCATTGTCACTAAATCCTTTAACGCTCCTACGTTTTTCCGTTCTCATGGATATCTGTTACAGGTGTTTAATACACCATGACTGTCTTGTCAAGGAGTTTATGAGTCGTATGTCTTAGATTTTGATAATGACATCTATATTTCTAGTTTGAGTGTGATGGGCGTCTAATATCAGCAGTGTTGGATTGGTTGCTAAAGGTTTTTCTAGGAAGTGGTCAAGCCCACTTGGTATACGTAATCATGGTTGTAAGAGAGTCTATTCTTGAACATCTTGATTGAACAATAGACAACACCGACTCACCTACGTTGCTGAGGTTCACCGCCATAGTATTCTCTAGCACGTCCAAAAAACTCAGTAACATTTTCCCTATGCGGGTCTTGTTAGGGAAGTTCCAGTGGGCTTTCGTAAACTTAGTGTGGCCAAATAATAAATATTTTCGTTTCTAAGTGACCTTTTCCCATTTTTCTGGAATTAAAAATTATACACTACTTTATACTCAGCGGGTAATGTGGAATATTCCAAGTTACACGCTTCACAAAATGTAAACAAAGCAAGTTCCCTATTACATATTACGGAAAACATGTCTAAAAAAACTTACCGTGCCTTTAACAAAACGTAGTCGCAAAATTGACACCGTGCACAAACTTAGTGGAAATCATAACCTCAAATTTTATGCCGGCAGTCCAAAATTGTGAGAAGCGTTGTAATACCGCTAAAACCTCAGAGATAGGGCCAGATGTTATGAAATTATAAAAAAACGCCCCTATTACTCGAGCATTCCATATATACTCTACTTACATAAATTTCGAACCCTAATATTTCCAAAAGCAATGGATGAAGTGCCGCAAATGTACATATATACTTTTAAAATCAGAAAAAAGACATATTAGAATATAAAACAATATGGATGGCAGTCCATTAAAAAATATAATATATAATAAAAAAAATATATAAATTTATTTTCTAACACGTCCGACCAAAAATGCTTTAAAGCGCAGTCACAATCATGTACTTCCAATTTTTTGCATCTTTGATTGACGACGCTGTAAACGGGACTTCACAATATACATACGATTAGCTGTATTTTCTTATGTTTTTAACGCTTTTTCTAAATGACATTTAAAACAAAACGCTAACAATATTCTGAGGTCACAAGCTACTTGATATATTTTAATGGAACCCTATTCTGTTTACAACTCTATTCTCATATTTTATTAAACTTGTTTTTAAAATGTTGGCAAAATAGGTGATTTATATTTCATTTCAACAGTGCACAAAAGAAATAGAATAAGAGTTATTTTCCTATAACTAATTTCTTAATACTGATTCTATGATTTTTGCCATTTAACTGATTCGTTGCCACTGTAATTATGTGCCGCATGACTGGACGATCAGTAGTTATAGATATTTCATATTTGGAAAAAACATTTTTGATCCGAATGACATTTTATTCGTGTTGATATATCTGGAGGTAAATAGATAGAAAAATATGTGTATCAATAAGCTCCCACGAAAATTATTAACAATTTCGTTATTTTTTTTAAAATATTTTTAAATGCTGTCTCAAATCATTTAAAATCAAATCAATTTAGAAAATGTTTGTTTCAATTCCATTTTATTTGTAAAATTAACTCAGATTTTTTAGAGAAACACAAATTTTACGTTTGTCACAACAATATAAAACATTTTATAAAACTTCTTTCCCCACAATTAGCTGTCGACGTGTGGTTTATGCAGAATCTTCTCAACAGAGCTTTTTTTGACATTTTTTGATCTTCTGGAGTTTTGCCGTCAGAAATACTTTTTTTTACTTAATTGATTAAATTATTTTCCAATGGAAAATGTCTCATATGCGTTCCGCCACATTACTGATACCATGAGAAAAACAAGTAACATGAAGTAGGTATAAAAGAGTATGATTTTTTCTGTCGGAAACTGCAAAAAAAAGTGGCTTAACTTCCCTTAATAAATCTGGTTACACATAAATTGTTGGGTTTTGGTAGGATCTAATTAGATAGAATTTTCCCTAAGACTCCAATCAGTGAGTCAGTTTTATCCACCACAAGACAAATAAGACAGAAAGACAAAAAGAGAACGCAATAAATTCTCCATTATCGGAAAAATGCAAAACTGAAATGAAATTGGAAGAAAAATTGTAAAATTCATTTGATTTTGGACAATTTGCGACAGTTTTTAAAATTATTGAGAAAACATTAACAACATTTTGATATTAAGACATAATTTAATTCTAACCAACATTTCTTAATAACATTGTGCTGGATTTTTTGGCATGAGGCTTACTGTACTGTTGTGCCAAAATTATGGTACAATCTAAACACTTAAAAAAAACGATTTCCGTTGGGATTTTTCATTAAAATTAATTTCCCAATAAGCAAGACTAATGCTAATTAATAACTTTTTCAAGTAATTTTGCATTTTTGTTCATTTGTCATTAACATATTTCATTTATAAACATTATAAAAAATGTTGGTTCCTTTTGTTTTTAAATGACTTACAAATAAATGGCCTATTTCAATATTTTTAAAAAATCCATGAAGAAGTATCATTTATGATTTTTTTTTAAATAATTGCAAATAAAGCATTAAATTCATTTAAACTTTTATCACACTATCTCATTTGATGGGTATACATGAAAGGCGCCACAATGGAAAAAAAAAATCCCAATTATTGAAATATGTTTTTTTTTAATATGCAATGATAAAGGAAATACCTGAAAAAGTTATTAATTAACAATAGTCTAGCTTATTAGAAAATTAAGGTTAATAAAAACTTCCAACAAGAATCAGTTTTTTGAGGTGTTTAGATTATACTATAATTTTTTTAGATTTTTAATTCTATTTTATATACCTGAATTGTTTTTTTACTGTAACTTACTAACTTACAACGCAATTTTCAACCTTAAATTAAAATTATTAATAATGGAGTT